TTCACAGCAAAAAGGAAGGTACAGAGAGTTCCGGTGTACTCCCTGCCAGCCTCCCCCATGATTAACATCCCCTCAGAGCAGTCCATTTGTTACAATCCATGAACCTACACATCATCATTGTCCAGAGTCGACAGCATACATTAGGGTTCACTCTGCTGTTGCACATCCTGTGGGTTTGGACAAATGTACAATGACATGCATCCGTACAGAGTAGTTTCACTGCCCTAAATAGAAGCCTTTTTTTTGAGGTATGTCCCCAGGTTTTGCCCTTTATCTGAGAACTCTCACACCCATTGCCACTCCCAAGAGTGGACTGTGTCCCCATTCCAACCCCACGTGCTCACACAACCACAGGACAGAGGGAGCAGCTGTCCCTGTGTGGAAGTGTCCCAGATGGGTTGTCTGCCCTGGGGATCTGGATGGGGACATCCAGAGACAGGGTCAGTTAGTGCAATCACCAGCCTTGTTCGGATCATGGAAAGACCCACGTGTTTCAGCAGAGGTGAGGGAGCAGCTCTGCACAGTGGGGAGAGGGGAAAAGTAGGTGAGCTGGGGAAACAGGGAGAAGAGATTTCTGTCCTGAGGCAGGGACAGTTGGAGACAGAGTCAAACAGAGGATTCAAGTGATGGCAAGACGGAAAAACAGAAACAGGGACACGGTGAGTCGAAAAAAGATGCCACCAAGCAACAGCGGCGCAGACAGAGAGGAAGGCAAGGCTAGGGCTGCTTTGGCTCCCCCTGGACGTCCCTGCCCGCAGGCCTGGCTGCTCCTCAGTGCAGATTCCAGAAGCTGCCTGGCCACCCTCAGATAAACCCCCCTAAACACCCCCCCTTTCTTCTTCTTCCTCTTCTCTTTTTTTTTGAACAGGGTCTCACTCTGTCACCCAAGCTGGAGTGCAGTGGCACGATCTCGGCTCACTGCAACCTCCGCCTCCCAGGTTCAAGCAATTCTTCTGCCTCAGGTGCCACCAGGCCCGGCTAATTTTTTTGTGTTTTTAGTAAAGATGGGGTTTCGCCATGTTGGCCAGTCTGGTCTTGAACTCCTGACCTCAAGTGATCCATCCACCTCGGCCTCCCAAGGCGCTGGGATGACAGGCCTGAGCCACAGTGCCCAGACTCCCTTTTCTTCTTCACCTGATGGAAGGGGCTCTTCTTTGCACCCACGAAATGCTGGGTGAGTCAGTCAGCAAACTGCTTGGGAATGATGGGAGCTAGGGCTGCTGTTTTGGGTCTGTTCTGCTCATTTATTTTTTATCATTTTGGGGGGTTTCGGAGGTGGGAAGTCAGTGCTCCTCCCCCCACGCCCCACAAGGGATGGGAATTAGGCATGTCAGTCAGTATAATACAATTTTCTAAGTATGTCTCTTTGTTCAGACACCAGTATTTTTTAATTTTTTTATTTTTCTATCTCCAGTTATTAAGTCATTGCTGCTGTAGGACTGCCACTTAAGTGACTGGGTTTTTATTTTTGTCCCCAAGGTACAAAAAGTACTACCAGCCACACACAGTGGCTAACGCCTGTTATCTCATCACTTTGGGAGGCCAAGGCGGGAGGATCGCTCGAGCTCAGGAGCTCAAGACCAGCCTGAGCGACGTAGTGAGACCTCATCTTTACAAAAACTTTAGAAATTAGCCGGGGCGTAGTGGCGTCAGCTTGTAGTCCCACCTACTTGGAAGGATGGCTTGAGCCTGGAAGTTCTAGGCTGTGGTGAGCCGAGGTCGCGCCACTGCACTTCAGCCTGGGCGACAAAGGGAGACCCTGTCTCAAAATAAAAATAAAAATAAAAGTACTGCCTACTTTCTGAACGCGCTCAGGCGGTGTCGCCTCAGGCGATGTAGTGGGACCGCGCACAGGCTGCCTGGGTGATCTCAGAAGGGCGAAGCCCCACGACGCAGGTTTGGGGCGGTCCTGTCCAACCTCCTGCGCATCGCGGGTGTCCAGAAACGCAGGCTGAACGCTGGAGCCCAGGGCGTCCTCGGTGCC